AACTGATCTGTCTTGCCTGGGAAGAACGCAATGATGGTGTCAGCTTGGGCCAGTGAAGCAACATCCTCCACAACTAGACTGAAGAACAAAACATCAGCAACTTATTTGTTCCCCTTCCCCCAATTCCCCAGTGCTGTTCCCTTCCCCCAATTCTCCAATAAAATCTTTAGAAAACAAAACAAAACCCTTCTGCACAACAAAAGAAACCATCGAGAAAATTAAGAGGCAACCAACCGAATGGGAGAAGATATTTGCAAATAACACCTCCAATAAAGGGCTAATATCCAAAAAAAAAATAAGGAACTCATACAACTCAAAAACAAAAAAACCCCATACAGTCCAATTAAAAATGGGCAGAGGACCTGAATACACATTTCCCCAAATAGGACTTACAATTGGCCAATAGACATATGAAAAGATGCTCAACATCACTAATCATCAGAGAAATGCAAATAAAAACCACAATGAGATATCACCTCACACCAGTTAGACTGGCTATCATCAATAAGACAAATAACAAGTGTTGGAGAGGCTGTGGATGAAAAGGAGCCCTCATACACTGTTAGTGGGAATGCAGATTGGTGCAGACACTATGGAAGGCAGTGTGGAGTTTCCTCAAAAAATTAAGAATAGAATTACCATATGACCCAGCAATCCCTCTCCTGGGTATATACCCAAAAAATCTGACAACATTTATCTGTAAAGATATATGTTCTCTGATGTTTATTGCAGCTTTGTTTACAGTGGCCAAGACATGGAAACAACCAAAGTTTCCTTCGATAGATGATTGGATAAGGAATATATGGTACATATACACAATGGAATACTATTCTGCCATAAGAAAAGATGAAATAGTGCCATTTGTGACAACATGGATGGATCTTGAGATTATTATACTAAATGAAATAAATCATACAGAAAAAGTCGAGAACCATATGATTTCACTGATATGTGGGATATAAAACTGAAAGCAACAAAGGAACAAGACAAACAAACAAAGAAACAAAAACTCATATACATAGACAATAGTTTAGTGGTTACCAGAGGGTAAGGGGGGAGGAGGTGGTAAATGAGGGTAAATGAGATCAAATATATGGTGCTGGAAGGAGAACTGACTCTGGGTGGTGAACACACAATGTGATATATAGATCATGTATTACAGAATTGTGCACCTGAAAACTATGTAACTTTACTAACCATTGCCACCCCCAAGAAGCTTTAATTAAAAAGAAAAGAACTATAATTTTGCTGGCTTACCAAAAAAAAAAAAAACTTAGTGGCACCAAGGCAATAAGAGGACTTTGAGACTATATACTTGAGGGATTTGATGTCAGGTTAGCTTGAAGGTCATGTGGTACATCTTGTAAAATTGAAGTTATCATCTATGTCACGTCTTCTAGAACCTTGTATTTTTCAACTATTCCATTATCAGGGTAACACGTAGACCACATTTCTCTCTGACTCCTTCATGATACAATCTGACACAGTCCTAGTGAGGCTGATAAATAAATGTAAAGATGTTTCAAATATTTCTCAAATTTTTAAATTAATGTAGGAAGTTGGGCCAGCCGAGTGGCGCGATGGTTAAGAACTCGCTTGGGATGCCAGAGGGCCCCGGTTCGGATCCCACATAGGAGGGCCAGTGACACTGCCCTCCANATGATAGCCCACCATTATTTTATATTCTTTGCTACTTAATTCTGATTCTTCTTCATGAAAAGAGTAATGCATAAATGTGAGTAATTTGTGTATTACTGCACAATGCAGGAGTTACCTCATTGTGTATTTAATTCCTCTACACACACACACACACACACACACACACACACACACACTGACTCACTCATACCTCAATTTCCATGGACTGGCAAAGGATGGATCTAGAGAGAAGAAACCGCTTTGGGCATGTTACTCCAGGGACATGCATCCCTCTGTTTTCTCATATGTCCTATATCCGTCATGTCCCACCAACTAGTGACCAGAAGTTCTTTTTGAAGGACACTTTCCCTGGATTGACTCTTTTGTTCCCCACCTTACCTCAGTACACTCATTAGCATATTGGTTCACTCCATCCACTCTCCCCTTTCGAGCTGCCAGGTCTACTTGGAACTCTTCAAATTTCTTATGCAGAACCTCTGTGCGCTCCCAGTCCTCACCCAGTTCTACTGATGTCACTATGGCCTCCTGTAGACACAGAAAAGTCTATTAAGTCACCAATAATCATTTGTTAATTCCTTCAGGTAAAATGCCTCAAGTCCCTGTCTGCCTTCCTAGAATAACTCAGAAGGAGCTACAAGTGGAACCTAGAAGAACAACTTCTGGAAAAAGCCAGAAGCAGGAGTATATTTCCTGAGGTGTACCCTGGTCCAGGGGACAATGCTCTTTGGGGGAAATCTTTCAGAGAATCAGGGATATTGTTGACCAGAGCCTATGGAAACACCCTGTATGTTTTGCAACATAGAACCTAAATTTGGAACATAAAAATAAATTCATCCTTTTTCTACTCAATTTGACATACCGAATATCTATAAAGTCATTGTGGCAAGCAGTTACTTGTGTAAATCTTCAGGCATAAGTATAGTATTATTCTTTAATTATTTAGAAAAATAAAAATCTCCATAGTTTATAGGCATTGAGATACAAAGGACTAGGGAAAAAGCTGAAAATACTGTCAGCCTGGATGTAGAGTTAGAGCAAACACCTAGAAAAAGGAGTTAAGGATCATGGAAGGTGGAATGGGGGGCAAGCCTGGATCATCTTTCAATGCACAGTTTTTATGTAAACCTTGCCTTCTTCATATTCAGACTCATACATTTAGACTTACCCTCCTCCCCCAATAGTGTTAATAACCTCCAGAATACCTCTAAATCTTTGCCAAAATTCCTCTTATTTCAAGGAACAAAGTCCAGGAATAGATACTTTGACTTCTTGATTAATAGCCTATATTAAATTGCTATGGGATAAAGGCATAGGAAGTCCTAAATGCATACTGTTTAGTTCTGTACCTTGTCTCCAATCCACTCCAAGATGTCGGCACACTCCTGTAAGTACTGCTGGAGCTTCAGGGCCTGCAGCAGCAGGGTCCCCTTTTCCCGAGTCAGCTCTAACAGCAGGTCCCACAGGCGGCGCAATTCCTCCAGATGGACCTTTGGGGAGGAAAGGCAAAACCACTCAGGCACAAAGGCTGTGGAGTAGGTGCAGACTCAGAAGGAGGGACCTAGATAAAAATGTCTCCTCCCATTCATGTGTGGATTAATTGCTTAACAAATATTTAAAGGAGAAAATAGAATATGTATGCAAATAGCTATTAAACCAAGCCAGATATTATCTTCCGTAAGACAAAAAAATTTTAGAAATGCTTTGGGGTTTTATAGAACAAAGTGATTACAAACACTAAGACAGGATGGAGTAAGGATTCATGGAAGAGTGCTCATTTGAATGAAGCCTTGAGAAACAGATAAAATTTTGACAGGTAGATAATAGGAAGAGGGTGTTCTAAACACTGGCAAAATCATAGAATAAATTTAGCATGAACTGTTTGCCAGAAAGCATAACAACTGTACTTATGGACCTTGGGTTCAAAGATGATTTTAGGAATTTGACCTCAAAGGTAAGGGAGGTAAAAGCTAAAATAAATGAAACTGAAAAGCTTCTGCATTGCAATGGTCAAGAATCTAATATTGTGTATATATATATATATATATATATATATATATATATATATATATATACTCTCACAGGATGTGGTGTATAGCATATGGAATACAGTCAGTGGAACAGTAACAGCTATATACAATGTCAGAGGGGTAGTAGATTGGGGGAAGGGGGTTATCACTTTGTGAGGGGTATAAATGTCTAGTACGTTGTTTTGCATACCTGAAACTAATTTTTAAAAAGTTCCCATCAACATTTGCTAATGGTTTAGCAAACATTAATATTCATTTTTGAAATATTCATTCCATTAAGAGTTAGAAAATGGTGATATTTGTAATATTATAATTTCTTTTGCATTAGCTTGAATTCTTCTATAAAAAATTCCTTCACTGGCTCTTTGTTACCCTAAAAAAATAGTTTGTACAGGTAGGGCAAGATAACATGTTTGATTCCCTCATTGAATTTATCAATTTTCATAGTAATGGGTTGGTACTCTGGCAACCTCCAATGGTGACCAATGAAAACTTTTTAGTATCATTCAAAAAACACACAAAAAAACCACACAAAAAAAACCCTTCTGGGGCCGGCCGCGTGGAGCATTGGTTAAGAACTGGCTTGGGACGCCAGAGGGCCCCGGTTCGGATCCCACATATGAGGGCCAGTGACACTGCCCTC